CGTCTTGGAGCGATCTTGTGGCATGTCGGACCCCTCGTGTACCATCTTGGGGGCCTCTTGGGGGCCTCTTGGCCTTTCTTGGGGCTCTCGGGGACGTCTCGGAGCCCTGTTGGTGCGCTCATGGAGCGCTCCTGGAGCGCTCTGGGGGAGTCTCCCGGGGATCGGTCGGGGATCGCCCGGGGTACTTTTCGTCCGGGGACCCCCTGGGGCCGCCCCGCGCGCGCGAACTAGAGAATTGTTAACCAGTTACCGGAGATCTTAGCACGCCTCTGGCCCGTTGGGCCAGCGAATTGATTTTTTATAGTCAGGATGGGCGGGCCCGGATCGACGGCCGCGCGCGATGTGCGCCGCGTCCCATATGTGCGCCGCGTCCCAGTATTGCCACATATTTCGCACCGTCGGCGACAAGGCAGGCCATGCTGATATGAAACAACGAACACTTTGTATTGATTTTTTATACTCAGGATGGGCGGGCCCAGATTGACTGCCTCGCGCGATGTGCGCCGCGTCCCATTCGTGCCACGCTTTTCGCATCGTCGACGACAAGAAAGACGATGGTGAGAAGAAAAACGGCCACTTTGTATTGATTTGTTACAGTCCGGTACCTCCTGGATTGGGCCGCTATCGGCCGGAATACGAGGTAGGTGGGGGTATATTTTAATAAGGAACAGGGATAACTATGGGGGGGAAGGGGAGGAGGGGGAGAGGGAGGAGGAGAAGAAATTGCCTTGCCACGCCAGAAGACGATCAAACATGGTTCAGTTGTTCCTGGACCTCCTGTGTAGTTGGGTCATCGCTTTCTCTCCGCATATCCGCGCGTCTCACCTCACTTCGTCGCTCTTCCCTGTCTCCGCCTCCTCCCACCAGCGGCGCCACTGGGAAGCACCCCTCGCGCGCCCTCGGGCTGGCCAGCGATAGGTGGCCTCCGACGACATCTGTCAGCCACGACGGGCGCTTGCGACCACTTGGCAATCCAGGGTGGTGGAATCAGTAAGTTGGGCTTATTCACGGGGTCAAGCAAGGGTGCCTGCGGTTCCTGGAGGTTTGTCCATCCTCGGCATACCTTCCAGAAGCTGCGCCTCAGCGAGAGCGTCCAGGCGTCCCGATCGGTGCGGTTGCTTCGCAGTCGGCTGCATCCGGTCGATTCGCTTCGGTCGGTCCATGCGCCGCCGCGTTTTTCGAGGGTCATTTCTGTTGTGCCTTTCGCTTTCGCTGTCGGTTCGGTTGGTTCTCGCCTCTGTCATCGCAGTGGACGCCCACAGATCTGACACATGAGGAGGGGAAGGGCGTGAACTGAAGGGAGGGGCTAAGAGGACGGGGGGACAGGAGTAAGGAGGATGAGGAGGAGGAGGAGGGGGAGAAGAGCCGAAGGAGGAGAAGGAGCGAGAGGGCGCGAGGAGGATGTGCATGAGCATGCTGTGGAGGAGGTCGGGGGAGGGACATGGAGAAGAAGGAGGAGGCATGCTGCGAGCGTGAAGGCGGATGCGGGCAGGGGAGTGCCGTCGCTGCCCTCGCTTTGGTGTGCTCGGGGGCGGCTGGCGCTCCGGTCAGGCCGGCTCCGCCTGCCGGAGTTCGAGTGGTACCTGGGGCCGATGTACAGGCCCCGTTCCCGCGGAAGCTCCCTCAAGCAGTGGCGAAGCGTCTTGGCCCACCAGAGAATGTCGGGGCTGGACAGAACCCCCAACCGTGACACGTCGATTAGTGAATTGTCCGTTTTCGGTTCTCGAGAGGGCGCCGTGGCCGTCATTTTCCAGGCTTGCGCCCGCCAGGTTTGGGCCTCAGGTCGTTTTTACTAAACCACGTTTTGCTAAAGGGGGGCCGATGTACAGGCCCCGTTCCTGCGGAGACTCCCTCAAGCAGTGGCTCAGAGCTCCAGAATCATCAGGGGTAACTCGGGTCAGGGCTAATTCGGGTTCGTTTTGCGGGATTCCGAACCCAAGTTAGCCCGGGGCCCGAGTTACCCCGGATGATTCGGGCGTCCAGAGCCCCCAAATCATCCGGGGTAACGCGGGCCCAGGGCTAACTGGGGTTCGTTTTACGGGAATCCAAACCCGAGTTACCCCGGACCCGAGTTACCCCGGATCACTCGGGCGCCCAAGTGGCGAAGCGTTTTGGCCCACCAGAGAATGTTCAAAGAACCGTTTGTGGTCGGCGCGACGTGCTCTTGGAACATGTTTTGTTGGGGCCGTCTTGTTTCGACATATCGGGCTTATCTTCCAAGCACATTGCTTTTGTTCTCAGGGCATCTCTGGGTTTTAAGGGCATGCTGTGGTAGGCCTATACGAATGGCTGCACGGCCGGTCCCTGCTCAGTTCGCATCCATGCCAGATCTCCAACGATCTGGTTTTGCATGCTGCTCAATCCTGGCGGTTTTTTGTCGAGCTGTCTGCCTTTTGAGCCCGTTGTCGGGCCCGCGGGCCATCAACCACGAATCTTCATCGAAAAACGGACCCCCGGGGGAAAGAAGGGCCCCCCGGGGGGGAGGGAGGGAGGGGGAGGGGGGGAGGGAGGGGGGAGGGGGAGGGGGGAGGGGGAGGGAGGGAGGGAGGGAGGGAGGGAGGGAGGGAGGGAGGGAGGCCTGGGAGGCATTGAAAACACCGCTTTGTCGGATGTCTGGGCCGTCGACGTCTTCAGCAGGGGGGGGCATTCGAGACAGTGCAGCTGGCTCCATCGTTGAGAACAGCCCTGGTTCAATGGAGAACAATCGGCGGAAACATCAATGGTCGGGGGTCCGCGCGGGTTTCGTGGATCGGCGGCGCTGGAGTCCCTCTCTGTCGCGGAGAGTGCGCCAGCGGCGATCCAGTATCGCCCGAGACCTCCGAACGGTTACGTCTCTGTCGATCTTTCGATTGTTTCGCTTCCTCCGCCAGCGCATGGCGGGCGAGACGGACGATACAGGGGAGGAGAATGAGGCGGAGGAGGAGGGGGAGGAGGAGGAGGAGGAGGAAGAGGAGGCCTCTCGACGGCTTGTTGGGGCACTGCTGGGACCAAATTGCGTCGCGGACGCCTCCTTGCAAGACCCTTGAGATCTCTTGGAAGGCCTCCCGGGGGCCTCTTGGCAATATTTTGGGGACGCCCTGGGGCCTCTTGGCGGGCCCGTTGGGCATCCTTTGAGGGCCTCTTGAGGGCTCCTTGGGGCCCTGCTGGAGGTCTCGGGGGCGGACTTTCAGGGAAGTCTCGATGTGTCTGTTCGGGTTTCCGCTCTTGAGGCCCCCATGGGCTCCTGTGGAGCCCTCTGGGGAGGCCTCTTGGGCCCGCTTGGGTCACTCTTGAACCGTCTTGGAGCCGTCCTGGGAGCGTCTTGGGCTAGCTTGGGGCGATCTTGGAGGCCTCTGGGGTCGTCCTGGGCGATCGGAAGCTTGACAAGGCGGTAACGCCAAAAATCTGTCAAAAAGCCATAAGTGAGCAGAATCTCCTCGGGCCCTCCTTGGGGATCCTCTTGGAGCCCCTCTGGAGCGTCTTGGGTTCCTCCTTGGGCCTTCCTGAAACCCATTTGGGCCATCTTGGAACGCTCTTTGCAGGAGGCCGTGGGGCCTGCCACCGATTCGGCGCTTCCTTGGCCCCCAGGCTCCCAAGAGGCCTCCTCCTCCTCCTCCTGTCTCCTCCCTCTCCACCTCCTTTTCTTTCTCCCCCACACGTTCCCCCCAAGGTTTCCACAACAGCTGGGGAGCACATAGTCTGATACAGTCGGGGCGCCGAAGAAGGAACCCTTCTCGCTGTGGAGGGGCTCGGTGTTCCTTGGTTGTTTCACAGTTTGCCTCGGGTTTTCCCGAGGTTTGCAATAGGAAATCGAGGTTGAGCTTCGGGGAAAAGGGGCCTCGTTCCTTATTTATCGTTCCTTAGGTCAACGCCCCAACTGTAGCTTGGTCGAGTTCTGGCCGAGCGCTCTTTGGGCCGCTCCATGGGGGCCCCAGGGCCGCGCACAGGAGTCCTTGCATCCGTGGCCGGATCCTGCCGGTACCTGGCCGGGGTGCTTGTCGTCCGGGGACCTCGGGAGCCTCGAGACGGGGGTCAGTGCAGACGGGGGTCAGCCAGAGCGCCGGATCTTGCAGGATCCTGCAGCGCCAGGGTCGCATTGACGCGGGTTTGGGTGCAGGATCCTGCAGGATCCTGCAGGGTCTTTCGCATTGACGCGGGTTTGGGTTCAGGATCTTGCAGGATTTTGCAGGCCTGATTGACCCGGGTCTGGATTGACCCGGGTCAGAAGATCCCCGAGGACCTTGATCATTGACGACGACCTCTTACCATTGGTGACGATGCTATACATGCATGTTTATCGGGGCATCGAGAGCGAGCGGGAGAGACGGCCTCACGCCCGCGTGGCGGCGTGCTATAACATGCTGTGTGACGCTCAACTATGCAGGGAACGATTCCCATCAGCAGATGCTGTCCAAGGCCGACGGCGGCCAGTGTTGGGCATGCGACACTCGCCCCCAAATTTTTGGACGAGGTTCGAGGTTCGAGGTTCGGTCGATTCGGCTGGTTCTGGACGAGGTTCGATGGGACGTGTTCGTAGGTTCTCGGAGGTTCTTTCAGCCCCAGGATGTTTTCCAGCAGCCTCTCGGCTTCGCGAAAAGCATTCCAGGGGTGGGCGGATTGGGATCGTCGCAAACAGCTGTCTTGTTGACACGAAAACCGAATATCCGAGTATGTGTTCGTTGTCAACGCAAGATCTGCTTCATAGGTTTCGGATTCTGGCTTTCTCAGACAGGCATTCGGGGCTCCTGGGTGCCTCGGTCGTACGCCTCCGGTAGCTAGGGAGCCCTGCATGCCCTCGGGATGCCGTCTTGAAAGTGCCGCCTGTGTCCGGTCATCCATCAGGCAGCGCCGATTCCGCGTCGGTCTGGCGCCGATCTGGCGTCGATCGGCGTCGGTTAGCGTCGGCCGGCGTCGATTGACCAGGGCCAGCAAGAAGACAGTGGAGGCTCTCGCGAGACGCCGCAGGATGCACCCTGCCGCCGCTCGTGGGCGAACAAAAAAACACGTGGCCGCGTCCGCGGCCTCATCGGGCGGGGCCCCTGGCCCGCGGCCGCGCCGCGGGACGCGGGGCGCCGTCTCTCTCGCGCAGGGGCCACGCGCAGAGCGCAACCCCGTGCGCGCTCGCGTGCCTGTGGGGTCGCGCCCCAGGATCAGGAGGAAAAGAAACACACAGACACAATTAATCCTCGATTCCCTAGAAAATATGGGAAAATATGGGAAATGGGGGGAAGACAGAAACCCAGAAAATATGGGAAAATATGGGGAATCTTTTTATTTGTGTGTATTTATTTGTGTGTCCTGGGGCCCCTTCACAGGAGCCAGGCTGCGAGGGCGCGGAGAGCTGCGGATCCCTATCGTATCCCTATCCCTGGAACATATCCCTACCCCTATCCCTATGCTAGGCTGCGAGGTCGCGGAGCCAGGCTGCGAGGTCGCTTACCAGGAGTCAGGCTGCGAGGTCGCCCTATCCCTACCCCTATCCCTATCCCAGGAGCCAGGCTGCGAGGTCGCTTACCAGCCTGGAACATGTCCCTATCCCTGTGCTGGGCACCTCCTCGTCACGATGCCAGTCTCAGGGATTCCCTTCTTTTTTGAGGGCGGATCCCTAAGATTGTCATCGCCTTTTGGCGTGTCCATCTTAGGGATATAGGGATACGTTCGAGGCTGGTAAGATTTCTATCGAGGGACGAGACACACATCGACCATGCCCAAGATGTCGCTGGATCTTAGTGGCGTCAATCTTGGTCATGGTCCATGCTGACCGTCGCCGATTCGCGATGATGATCCACGATTTGACGCCGACCGAGATGGACGGTGGCCAAGATCGGCGCGACCTTTCCGCGGTCAGTACTGGTCATGGTCACCGCTTTTTTCCTCCATTCAAGCCGTCGTGGTCGTCGTCGTCGTCGTCGGCTGGCGCCCAGGCCCCACTTGCGGGGCCCGCCCACGTCACAGACGTTACGGAGAGGAGGAGGAGGAGGAGGAGGAGGAGGAGGAGGAGGAGGAGGAGGAGGAGGAGGGGGAGGAGGAGGAGGGGGGGGAATCAAACCACATTCTCCACGGACTTCCGGTGCTTTTCCTGTTCGAGCAGCCGCAGGAGCAGGGCGGGTGCGGGACCCACACATCGGATGCCGTGTTTTTTTCTAAAGGCGGGCTCCCCGGACGTCTCGACCGACTCCACGGGGCCGGCTTCTCATCCCGAGCTGTTTTGTTTGACTTCCCCGATGCCCGGCGAGGGCCCCTATAGGGGCCGCAAACGGCCAACAGAAGCCTCCGTCTCGAGTTTCCCAAAGCCAGAAGCGACGAAGCACGTCCGCGCTGGATCTCTGGGGCGAGAAACCTCTGTCCTCCGAAAACTGCGAACAAACACCTCCGCGCTGGATCTTAAGGGGCAACGATCGGGGGGGATATAGGCATAGGGGGGGATGCATCGACCCCCAATCGCCCACTGATCGCCGATAGGTGCCGGATAGCCCCTACCTGCCCAGGAAGGTGCGGACTCATTTTCAGAGGCCCATCGCCGATCTGTCGGCGACGTATCGCCGATTCCAGGTCGATGTATCCCCCCCTGTGCTTCGGAGAAGGTTAAATTCTGGTTTTGCCCTGGTCCGAAGTCCGGCTTGATACCGCTTAATCCGGCTTAATCCAGCTTGCTCCCGCTTGATCCCTCTTAATCCGAGGCCCATTCCGGCACAACAGCCCCCCAATGGGGCTTAATCTTTTTGAATCTTACCGACGAAGACCTCCCAGTAGTTGCCTCCTGACCTGTGCCAGTCCCCCCCTATGCAATCATGCATTCCGCGCGCGCGAGGGTGCAGTTTCATGGGGGGGGACGTGGAGGAGAAGAAGGAGTGAGGAGGAGAAGAAGCAGGAGGAGAAGGAGGGGGAGGAGGAAGAGGAAGATGACGTTGCCCTTCACCTCTGGGGCCGCCGCAGGCGGTACGCGGAGATCCTGGCCGAGCGCGCCCGTGCGGCCGACGGCGGGCCGGTCAAGAAGAAGGCGCGCCGCGCCGCGCCGCCCGCCGCGCAGCCCGTGTGCCCTCGGCGCCCCCGCCGGCCTCTGCGCTGCGCTCGGAGGCAGCTCGGGAACTTCGGGTGCAACTCCTGGGAGGTCAAGTTCTGGGTTTGCCCCGGTCCGAAGTCCGGCTGAATCGGGCTCAGTCCAGCTCAATCCCGTTTGATATGGCTTAATCCCGCTTCATCCCGCTGAATCCGGCTGAATCCCGCTTAGTCCGAGACCCGCTCCGGCGTAACAGCTCCCAAATGGGGCTTCATCCTCCCTAGCCTTTCCGACGAAAACCTCTCAGTAGTTGCCTCCTAAGGGGCCGAGATTCGAGGCTCAGAGGAGGGAGAGGTGCTTACAGTGCCGTTTTTTATACATGCTCCGCGCGCGGATTATGTATTACAAATGCAAGGATTTAGTACTAACAACAACGATGAGCTCATGCATAAATTTGTTCATAAATTCATCATTTTTTGTTAACATGTTTTTTTCAAAATCATATGTATTAAAAACTGCCATGTACAATGAACCGTGATAGTAAGGATGGGGCAGCTTTCCAAGGCTGCCCTTGCATCCTTGCCCCCTCGGTGTTCGGCATCCTTCGGCATCCTGCTGCGCTCCTCACGGAAAACGTCAGCATGGCGTTCCGAGGCCCCTTCATCTTTGCCGCGCATCCTCATTGTCCTGGTCGAGTGCACCCATACCTCCTACCTCTTCCTCGTTCTCCTTCGCTTGGGCCTCCCAGGAGGCCCTCGTCGGCACCTCTAGATTCGCCTCGAAATCCTAGTCAGAGCGCGCCCGGGAAGAGGTCCGAGCAGTAGCGGTGTTGGTACTTACTTTCTGTCTTCCCCAGAAGCCGTCTAGATGGGGTCCGAGCAGATGGGGTCGGAGGATCGCGCCGCATCGCCGATGCATCGGCGATGCGGCTCGATGTGGAGTCCGATTTGCTTCACGCCGACGTCGCCAATGCATCGCCGACGTCGCCAGACCATCGCATGCACTGCATCGGCGATGCGGCTCGATGTGGAGTCCGACGACGTCGCCAATGCATCGCCGACGTCGCTGGACCATCGTGTGGTGCATCGCCAATGCACCGCCGATGCATCGGCGATGCGGCGCGATCCTCCGACCCCATCCACTCCTTGGTACCGCTCGGACGTGTGCACTCTTTCTCTCGGCGGGCACCATCGAGGGGCATCCTTCAGAGCCCCGAATCATCAGGGGTAACTCGGGTCAGGGCTAACTCGGGTTCGTTCTTCGGGAGTCCGAACCCGAGTTATCCCGGACCCGAGTTACCCGAGTTATCCCGTGCCCATTTCGGGCGTGCAGACTTGCTTCTTAGAAGGTGCGGCCCTTGTCTGTAGGTGTACGGCCGGCGCCTTCTAAAAAGCGGCCTCCCCCCTCCCCCTCTCCCCCCTCTCCCCCTTACCCCCCGTGCGCGCCGCCACCGGGAGGGTGGGTGGGAAGAGGTTCTGGGTTCTGGGTTCGGGATGGTTGTTGGCTCTTTTCGGTCTCCGGGGGCCGGCTTCGATGCACCAGATGGACCAATGGAGGGGTCAGGGGTTATAATGTTCCAACCTGCCTTTTGTTGACCATTTGTCTGATTATTTCGTGGCCCCATAATGAGCTCCACCGAAGATCCCAGTGCTACCGCCCGCATGCGCCCCCCCCCAGCCCCATAGTGTGCTCCACTGAAGGTCCCAGCGCTACCGCCCGCATGCGACCGCCCCGCCCAGTACAGCGCATCGTGGCCCCATAGGGAGCTCCACCGATGGCCCCAGTGCTACCGCCCTTATGCGCCCCCCCCCCCCGCCCTCACCCAGTACATCGTTTCGCGGCCCCTTCAGGGGAGTCCGAAGGTCCCAGTGCTTCCGCCCGCATGCGTCCCCCCACCCTGTACAGCGCTTCGCGGCGCAATAGGGAGCTCCACCGAAGGTGCCAGTGGCACCGTCCGCATGCGTTTCCCCAAACCTTTACAGCATTTCGTGGCCCAATAGGGAGCTCCACCGAAGGCCCCACTGGAACGTGCCGCATGCGTCCCCCTCACCCAGTACAAGGGAGCTTCACCGAATGCCCCAGTGGCACACGGCCCCAGTGGCACCGTTCGCGTGCGCCCCCCACCCAGTACTGCGCTTCGTCGCCCACAGGGAGCTCCACTGTAAGCCCCAGCAACAAAGTTCGCATGCGTCCCCCCCGCCCGGTACAACGTTTCGTGGCCCATAGGTAGCTCCACCGAAGACGAGACCCACAATTGCGGAACTCACAACTGCAGATGGTTGGGTCCACCGCCAGGCTAATCATATACCTATACGACCACCTTTCGGGTGATCAGGAGGTTGTGGGGAACGGGAGAGGGGGGGAACCAACATCTGACTCAATCGATCTCACTATCGATCTTTCTCAACGGGACACCACGGGAAGCCACGTGACACATGTCGATCTCATGATCGATCACATTATCGATCTCACTTTTTGGGACACCACGGGACACCTCGGGGCACCACATCGATCTGACTATCGATCTCACTCAACGGGACACCACGGGACACCTATCGAACTCACTATCGATCTCACTTGTTTGGACACCACGGGACACCTCGGGGCACCACATCGATCTCAGTATCGATCTCACTATCGATCTCACTCAACGGGACACCAAGGGACACCACGGGACACCACAGGACACCACGGGACACCGCGGGACACCGCGGGACACCGCAAGCCACCGCCGGACGGACGGACGGACGGGCGGGCGGGGGAGAATCATTTGTCTTGACTTCGCCCTGGCCCTAGCAACGGCGGACAGCACAGGACACCACGGGACACCGCGAGACACCGCGAGCCACTGCCGGCCGGACGGGCGGGAGGGGGAGAATCACTTGTCTTGACTTCGCTCTAGCAACGGCGGACACCACGGGACACCGCGGGCCACCGCCGGACGGGCGGGAGTGGGAGAATCATTTGTCTTGATTTCGCCCTAGCAGCGGCGGACACCACGGGACACCACGGGACACCACGGGACACCGCGGGAGGCGCATGTGGACACGGCAGTGGGGCCTTAGGTGGAGCTCCCCATGGGGCCACGAACCGCCGTGCTTGGGGGGGGAGACGCATGTGGCCACCGCCACTGTGGCCTTGGGTGGAGCTCCCTATGGGGCCACGACAAGCTGTGCTGGGTGGAGGAGGCGCATGTGGACATCGCCAGTGCGGCCTCAGGTCGAGCTCCCTATGGGGCCACGAAACGTGCGACGGGTGTGCCAAACCGGAGGAGGGGCGGCATGCGACTCATGCCACTGGGGCCTTCGGTGGAGCTCCTTATAGGGCCATGAGACGTGTGAGGGTTGTGCCAAAGTGGAGGGGGGCGGCATGCGAATCATGCCACTGGGGCCTTCGGTGGTGCTCCCTATGGGGCCACGAAGCGTTCGAGGGGTGTGCCAAGGTGGAGAGCGGGCGGCATGCGAATCATGCCACTTGAGCCTTCGGTGGGGCCCCCTATCGGGCCACGAATCGTGTGAGGGGTGTGCCAAGGTGGAGAGGGTTTCGGCATGCGAATCTTGCCACTGAGGTCTTCGGTGGAGCTCCTTATGAGGCCACGAAACGTGTGAGGGGTGTGCCGAAGTGAGGGGAGTGACGGGAGAGGATGAGGGGGAGGAGGAGGAAGAGGAGTAGGAAAAGAGGAGGAGGGAGGAGGTGGAGACGCGGAGTCTCTCTCTTCAAAACGAGGACCCAACTCAACACAGGATGGTTGGGGAACACCAGATTTGCAAGAGCCCAGGCGCATTATTCGGGATTGGACAGAACCCCCAACAGTGACACGTCGATTAGTGAATTGTCCGTTTTCGGTTTTCTAGAGGGCGCCGTGGCCGTTATTTTCCAGGCTTGCGCCCGCCAGGCTTGGGCCTCAGATCGTTTTCACTAAACCACGTTTTGCTAAAGAGGGGTCTGTCCATCTCCGAATTGTGTTTTGAAATTTCTTGTTGGACAACCATGTGTGCTTAAATGTTTTTGTGGCACTCGTGTTTGACATCCGTACGACACCTAAGGTTTTGATAGGATTTCGGCATGCGCGCGCGACGACGCGCGCGTGTGCACTTCGTCCCGCGTGTTGCACATGATGTTTGACAACTGATGGTTTTTGATGAACGAGTTCGCGCGTAGAACATTTTTACCAGAGGATGAGGGGGAACGAGTCCGTTCTAGCTGGGATACTATGAACTCATATCCTGGATGGACGATGGGCCAGAGCCAACTGTAAACACGAAGGGGGGGGGGCTGATGGGGCAGATCCTGAGACTCTCTCAGCAAGGGGAACCAGCGAGGCGCGCACGAGCAGAATTGCGACCCACGACGAGCTCGACGACGGCGACGACGACGACGACGAGCTCGACGACGACGACGACGACGACGACGAGCTCGACGACGACGACGACGACGACGACGACGACCTCGACGAGGCGTCGGCGACGGGCGGCGACGGGCGGGCCCGACCGCCGCGCGGGCGCCCGCGCGGGGCGCGGCGGCGACGGGCGGCCACGGGCGGAGCGACAACAAGAAAACAGAGCCGGCCGGCGGCGACGGCCGCCCGCCCGGACCGCCACGGGGGCCCGGGTGTGTGTCGAGCAGCGGCGAGGCGTCCTCGCTCCTCCTCCTCCAGATCCTCCGCCTCCGCCTCCTCCTTCTCCTCCTCCAAAGCCTCCCCCTCCTCCTCCTCCTCCTCCTTCCTCCTCCTCCTCCTCCTCCTCCTCCTCTTCCTCCTCCTCCCATCTTCCTCCCCCCCCGCCTCCTCCTCCTCCTATTCCTCCTCCTCCTGCTCCCTCCTCCGCCTCCTCCTCCTCGTTCCTCCTCCTCCTCTCGTCTCCTCCTCCTCCTCCTCCTCCTCCTCCTCCTCCTCCTCCTCCTCCCCTCCTCCTCCCTCCTCCTCCTCCTCCTCCTCCTCCTCCTCCTCCTCCCCCTCTTCCTCCCCCTCCTCCTCCTCCTCCTTCCCCTCCTCCTCCTCC